AATAAAATATTGACATTTGCCATCTCCACATCATTGCATTCAGTTTTTATTCACAATTTGTTTAGTGTTCCAACTTTTTTGGAATCCGGTTTGTAGGATGGGTAGAAGTAATGTTTAAATTAGAAGCCGGTCCTGAAGAGTTTTATATTCCAATGCTGGTTACCAGAGGCAGTCAACTTCCCTGTCCTATTATTGGCTTTAATGTTATTGAACGCATTATTTTTAACGTCAGAAACAAACGAACAACAATGAAGAAAAAGAGGAACTCTTAAAAACAGTGAAAATGGCTTTCCCAAACCTAAAACAAGGGACTGAGAGGGCTTTCATTAAAGCAGTAAGTGTGGAGCGAACAAGTGAGTATCTAGTAAAAACGGCATGCCAGAGAATGAGTATACCAAGCCATAGCACTGCCTAAATAAAATAAAATGCAGGATAAATGTCAGGCCCTTCAGAGAAGACACCACATTAGTGTTTGAGCCAGATGGAAACCCACTGTGGCCAGAGGGACTCCAGTTTTGTGATTCGGTACTTCAGGTACAAAGAGGCAAACAGCCTAATGTTATCCTTATTGTGCAAAACCCCACTGCTCACGACATTACACTAACAAAAAGAACAGTTATTAGCACAGCACAGCCTGTGTATCCATTCAACACAGATGAGGACTCCCAGTTGTCTGCAGCTGTAAATCATATGCAGACCCACCATACAAAAGATCAAAATTTTTCTACAGAACCGAGGGATCCCTCTATTGATCTCAGTCACCTAAATGAGACTCAAAGACACGTTGTCCGTGAGATGTTGAGGGAGGAGTCAGATTCTTTCTCTCGATCGGATAATGATATCGGATGTCTTGAAAAATTATTTGTGACCAGATTAGATAAATTTCTTGATAAACATATTTTAAGTAATAGTCAGTATGGTTTTAGATTAAAAAATTCAACATCCTTGGCTCTTCTGGAGTTGATAGAACAAGTTACTACAGCGATAGATCAAAAACAACACTGTATAAGCATATTTGTTGATTTAAAAAAAGCATTTGACACCATTGACCACACCATTCTACTTGAAAAATTGAAACAATATGGTATTAGAGGTCCAGCTCTACAGTGGATATCTAGTTATCTGAGGGACAGAAAACAGTTTGTACAGATTGATGATGTATGCTCTAATCTATGCAGTATCTCATGTGGAGTACCTCAAGGTTCAGTACTTGGACCTAAGTTGTTTATTTTATACGTAAATGATTTAATTGAGGTGTCTGGTATCCTCAAATGTGTTTTATTTGCTGAAGATACCACATTCTTTTGTTCGGGTAAAAACTTGGAACAGATGTTTGAGTTGATGAAGATGGAGTTTGTTAAAATACAAACGGTTTAAATTAAACAAATTATCATTGAATGTTGCTAAAACTAATTTTATGATATTTAGTAAAAAAAAGATAACTGGATTTTCCTTTCAAAACGGATGGTGTTGAGATATGTAGAGTGAATGAGGTAAGGTTTTTGGGTGTAATTATTGATGATAAACTGTCATGGAAACAACATGTAAATTTTGTAAAAACTAAAATATCTAAGTCCATGGCAGTACTGTATAAAGTAAGGGACCTTTTGAATGATAATGCTTTGTGTTTGCTGTACAATACTTTTATAGTCCCGCATTTAATTTACTGTGTTGATGTTTGGGGAACAGCTTGTAAAACTATAACTAAGCCTATTTTTGTGTTACAGAAAAGAGCTATAAGAATTATAACAAGAAAACATTACTGTCATCCTATAACTACTTTATTTTATAAATTGAAATTACTTAAGTTTTATGATCTGGTGGATTATAATATTCTCTTACTTATGTATAAAGCTCAGAATTATATACTACCCTTGAACATTCAAGCATATTTTGTGAAAAGGAAAAGTTGTTATAATCTAAAGGGAACAGATATTTTTGTGAAACCAAAGTATAGGACTAGTTTAAGGGGTAGGTCTACTTCAATACAGGGAATAGGTTTTTGGAATAGTTTGGATGATGATGTAAAAAAATCAAAGTCAATGTTTATATTTAAGAAAAAGATTAAGAACATATTGTTGAATAGATACATATAGATTTAAGTTAGTTAATATCAAACGAAATATAAATGGAAAAATTGTGATCAGTTATGTAATTTTGTTGTATTATTTATAGATGATTATTGATTGAATTGATTGTTTGAATTGATTTTGTTTAAGAAGGGGCAGAAATAAGATTTTTTTTCTTCTTCTGCTGCCTTTCATTTTATGTTTTGTATTTTACTCTCTTGTTTTGAAATTTTTATTGTGTTTTTAATTTGAAATGAATAAATAAAAAAAAAAAAAAAAAAAAAAATATATGTACTGAGAAGCTTGAATAAAAGATCAAACTGAAAGATCTTGAACCTGTTGCCCGTACCTACATGTCTGTTCCTAAACCATTGTATGATGAAATGAAGGACTACCTAACTCAGACCTGGGCATTGTACGGCCCCAGGGCCACATGCGGCCCTTTGGTTGACTCTGACCGGCCCCCGTAAGGGGAATTACAAAATACATGTGTAAACAAATGAAGTTAACCAAATCCAGATATAGATCCTCTCTCACTGATGATGTCAGCTTTGCTTCACATCTCCACCTCAGACCTTCAACCTGACTTTAACATTTCCGTTAAAACCCAACAGAGACTAGACTTCTCTCACTAAACAAGAAAAAAGAACTGATAAACACCAAATGAGATGTTTAGACTACAAATGTAGGCACGTAAAGAACCGGGACTCGAAATCACAGTTCAGTGACGATCACTATTATATGATGTTTCGTAATATTTGGAGTACAAAGACAATATTGTGATATATTTAGAAAGCTAAGAACTTTTTCCAGCAGTATATAAGACTCAAAATGAGTTTTGGGGTGAATGTGACTGAAAATGATCATTAATATAACGTCACAAATGGTAAAAATGTTAACAGTTTATCATTGTACTGGGAAATTTAATTGAATAAATGACATTTTTTGTAAGGAAACCTCACTTTTTTGTTGCTTAATCATAACAAATACTCTTACCAGCTTGTTAAAACAGTGCTATGTACTGCTTTTATTAATGAAATACTAATATTATGCAGTATTGAGTTAAGTTGAAATCAGGTCTCTCTTGTAAATGAGTCCTCGAGGCTCAATGGGATTTACCTGTCTAAATAAAGGTTGAATGAAAAAGTCATTTGTGCCAGCCCTCCACAATATTTGTTGTTTCTCATGTGGCCCCATGGAAAAAAATAATTGCCCACCCCTGACCTAACTGATCTGATTGCACATGGTTGGATTGAGAAATCCCGCTCATCCTATGCTTCACCTGTTGTTTGTGTTAGGAAAAAGTGTGGCTCTTTACGTCTGTGCATCGATTACAGGGAGCTCAACCGGAAAACCCACCCTGACCGACAACCGATCCCCAGAGTCCAGGATATTATGGATGGTCTTGGTGGAAACGCCATGTTCTCATTGCTTGACCAAGGAAAGGCTTACCACCAGGGATTCATGGCAAAAGACAGTAAGCATTTGACAGCCTTTATTACACCCTGGGGATTATATGAACGGGCCAGAATTCCATTTGGGCTTATGAATGCTCCCGCAGCCTTCCAACGCTGCATGGAAGAGTGTTTAGAAGGGCTTCGTGACAAAATGTGTGTCCCATATTTGGATGATACACTAGTGTTCAGCAAAACGTTTGAAAGTAATGTCAATGATGTTCGGAAAGTTTTGCAAAGACTCAGACAACATGGAATAAAACTAAAACCTAGCAAATGTGAGCTGTTTAAGACTGAAGTCCGCTATCTTGAACAAATAGTATCAGCAGAGGGAAACAAGATAGATCCTTCGGACACTGCAGCTGTGCAAGTTCTAAAAGACACAACCAAAAACAGTTGGTGAATTAAGTCAGATTTTGGGACTGTTAAGCTACTACCAGCAGTACATCAAATACTTTTCCCGCATTGCTGCCCCCCCTGTATGACTTAACCAAGGGACCAGTTAATAAGCGGAGCCAGCCACCCTCTAAGGTTAGAAAGTCGCATAGAAGCATGAATACAAAAGTAGTGCCACACTCCAATTGAATGGTCAGAAAGCCACCAACAAGTACTTGAGAACTTGATAATGTGTCTGACTCAGCCACCCATATAGGCATTTCCAGATTTCTCTCTCCCATTTGTCCTTCATACAGACACATCCAATAAGGGCCTTGGAGACGTATTGTATCAAAGACAAAATGGAAAATTACGTGTCATTGCATATGGATCCCGAACACTTGTCAGCATCAGAAAAAAAACTACAAT